TTTTAACTACATGGTTATGACCCCTTATACTAATAGTCGACACCAAGTATTAAAAGAATCTCTACCAGAAAAAAAAAATATTATCACTGCTAGTCATGCTATAATTACTTTAATTATAACATTTACTGCCATAAAATTAATTCTTTTATATATTCTATTTGGAGCAACACTAGTTTCGACACTCATTATCATTACCCAAAGAGGAAATCAAGCAGAACACATTAATGCAGGTCTCTATTTATTTTATACCCTAGTAAGTTCTCTCCCCCTCTTAGGAATACTTGTCTACATTCAAAATACAGTAGGACCTTTAAATATTCTAATGCTGAGCCCAATCAGTATCCAACTCTTGATCCAGTGGCTTCATAGGGTTAGTATGCATAGTTGCCTTTATAGTAAAAATACCATTTTATGGCCTCCACCTTTGACTACCTAAAGCACATGAAGAGGCCCCTATTGCAGGCTTCATAGTTCTGGCTATGCTGCCAGCACTACTAAACTTTGGATGCTATGGTATACTACGAATTACTAATTACAATAATTTGAAACTAACAGACTTCATAGAGTATCCACTCATTCTATTGTCCTTATGAGGCGTAATTATAACCAGCTCCATTTGCTTATGCCAGACAGACCTAAAATCGCTCACTGCGTACTCTTCTGTGAGGCACATAGCACTTTGCTATACTTACCCGAACACCGTGAAGTTGTATAGGAGCCACAGCCCTGATAACTGTCCATGGTCTTACATCCTCTGTGTTGTTCAGCCTGCAAATTCAAATTACCAGATCCATTGCCAAACAATAATCCTAGTCTAAAGCCTACAAATGTTCCTCCTACTAATAGCAACCTGATGATTACCAGCAAGTTAAACAAACCTAGCTCTACCCCCAACTATTAACTTGATTGGAGAGCTATTTGTAATAATATCCTCCTCATGATCAAACATTGCAATTATTTTAATAGGAATTCATATAGTAATTGCTGCCCTATACTCTTTATATATACTCATTACAATACAGTGAGGCAAATACACACACCACATAAACAGTATCTCTCCATCTTTTACATGAGAAAATGCTCTCATATCATTACCCATCCTACCACTTCTACTCCTATCCTTAAACCCAAAAATCATTCTAGGCCCCCTATACTGTATATGTAGTTCAGAAAAAAACACTTGATTGTGAATCTAGTAAGAGAAGACAATACCTTCTTATTTACCACAGAAGTAGGTAAGAATTCCTGATTCTATACTCTCATGACTAACAGCATGGCTTTTTCAAACTTTTATCCATTGGTGTTAGGAACCAAATAATTGGTGCAACTCCAAACAAAAGTAATAAATTAAATTTCCTCTTTCACTCTAGCCTCACTATTTATATCATCTATCATAATAACAAGCACTAACATTTATAAAACCACCACATGCCCTCTATATGTAAGATTATCTCATATGCCTTCACCATTAGCTTAGTTCCAACAATAATATTCTTGTATACAGGCCAAGAGATAATTATCTCAAACTGGCACTGAATCACACTACAAACCCTTAAGCTATCACTCAGTTCTAAGATAGATTATTTCTCAATAATGTGTGCTGGTGGCCCTATTTGTCATGTGATCAATTATGGACTTCTCAATATGATCCATTCACTCAGACCCCAACATCAACTGATTCTTCAAACACTCCTTCTCCTTGTTACAATACTAACTCTTGTTACCACGAATGACCTCTTCCAATTACTTACTGGCTGGGAAGGAGCAGGGGTCATGTCCTTCCTGCTCACTGGGTGACGGTGTGGACGGCAGACGTGAGCGCAGCAGCACTACAGGCAATCTTGTATAACGCCTCAGTCGCTCAGCCGTGTCCGACTCTTTGCGACACCATGGACTGTAGCCCACCAGGCCCCTCAGTCCATGGGATGTTCCAGGCATGAATACTGGAGTGGGTTGCCATCTCCTTCCCCAGGGCCAAAACACGTCAGCGAAGCCCAAAGACCAACTGGAAGAGGAGGCAGACTGCTGGCTTGCGCTGCGTGGATGTGGGGGTGCAGGGCGAGGGGGCGTGGCTGTGAGAAAGCGGGGCCGGGGGGGGCGTGGATGTGAGAAAGCGGGGCCGGGGGGGGCGTGGATGTGAGAAAGCGGGGCCGGGGGGGGCATGGATGTGAGAAAGCGGGGCCGGGGGGGCGTGGATGTGAGAAAGCGGGGCCGGGGGGTCGTGGAGGTGAGAAAGCGGGGCTGGGGGGGCGTGGAGGTGAGAAAGCGGGGCCGGGGGGGGCGTGGAGGTGAGAAAGCGGGGCGGGGGGGGGGCGTGGACCTGTTGTGTATAAGCCTGTGCTGCTGCTGCCGCTGCTAAGTCGCTTCAGTCGTGTCTGACTCTGTGCAACCCCATAGATGGCAGCCCACCAGGCTCCTCCGTCCCTGGGATTCTTCGGGCAACAACACTGGAGTGGGTTGCCATTTCCTTCTCCAATGCATGAAAGTGAAAAGTGAAAGTGAACTCACTCCATCATGTTTGATTATTTGCGACCACATGGACCACAGCCTACCAGGCTCCTCCATTCATGGGATTGTCCAGGCAAGAGTACTAGAGTGGGGTGCCATTGCCTTCTCCAAACCCTTTGCTGATACAGGTTTTATTAAAACAACAGCATGATTCTTATTTAACTTCAATGCATGACACCTACAACAAATTGTTATCCTCAGCTCAATTCAGTTGCTCAGTCGTCTCCAACTTTTTGTGACCCCATGAACCTCAGCACACCTGGCCTCCTCATCCATCACCAACTCCCGGAGTTTACCCAAACTCATCTCCATTGAGTTGGTGATGCCATCCAACAATCTCATCCTTTGCCGTCCCCTTCTTCTCCTGCCCCCAATCCGTCCCAGCATCAGGGTCTTTACCAATGAGTCAGCTCTTCGTATCAGGTGGCCAAAGTATTGGAGTTTCAGCCTCAACATCAATCCTTCCAATGAACATCCAGGACTGATCTCCTTTAAGATGGACTGGGTGGATCTCGTTGCAGTCCAAGGGACTCTTGAAGAGTCTTCTCCAACACCACAGTTCAAAAGCATCAATTCTTCGGCACTCAGCTTTCTTTATAGTCCAACTCTCACATCCATACATGACTGCTGAAAAAAACATAGCCTTGACTAGATGGAACAGTAAAGTGATGTCTCTGCTTTTTAATATGCTGTCTTGGTTGTGCATAACTTTCCTTCCAAGGAGCAAGGGTCTTTTAATTTCATGGCTACAATCACCATCTGCAGTGATTTTGGAGCCCTGTTTCCACTGTTTCCCCAACTATTTGCCATGAAGTGATAGGACCAGATGCCATGATCTTAGTCTCCTGAATGTTGAGTTTTATTATTTTTTTTTTTCTGATTCAGGCACTTTCAAGATCATAGTTTATTTATTACTTCAGATAAAAAGATAGTATACATATTAGGGAATCCCTTAAAACTCAACTCTAGAGTTATATACCATCTAGTACTTTTGCATTGAATGTTAACCAAAAAAATCTCTAAACATCTGAAAGCCCCACTAGTAACATGAACTATGGTAATAAAAAATATGACATTTAATTTGTTCAATATATAGTATTTACATTATGAAACCAATGGTGATCCAATAAACAGTGATAAAGAAATAGTAAAAATAAACTTTAAAAAGCAAAGGTTTATATTCTTAGAATGTGCTAATTATCATAATTGTATATAAAAATTAAAACATAGCAGAGCTTTCTGTTACAAAATTCTTAATCATCTGAGTTGTAGTCATTACTTGCTAACGATTTACATGCAACATCTGCTAGTACTGACATTTGATTGTTTTCCCCCAAGAAAGTGTGAGTAGATAATTAAGAGCAGACATTAATTTACCTGTGGACAGAAAAAGATAAAAACTGTACTCAAGATTAGTATTGGTCACAAGCCTCTTCTCTATAGAAATGATAAAAATAGTAAGACCAAAAAAAAAAAAAAAAAAATCCAAAATGGAGATGCATAGGCAAAGAGTACCATGAATGGCACAGTTCAAAAAATGTTGGGACCAATTAAGACATACCTCTTTTCTCTCCTGAATGATGAGGTCTGTTTTGCCACCAAATTATAATGACTGTAGCAAGTAAGGGGCACCAGGTGTACAACCAATTAAATCCTGCAAAATGCTAAGATGGGCAGGGGTGGCCAGAAGAAGGAACAATTTATATATACTTCAAACTATATACAGCATAACTGGAATGCAGCTCATCCCAAACTGGCTGTGTGAAACAACTGGACCTTTATGACTTAATAGTTAAAATTATAACAAGTGTAATAATACAATAGATTTACATGGGAAGCAAAATCAAGGGGCACTTTATATTATTTACTGTGTATTTCAATTTAAAAATAATTTGCTAAGTATACATCTCAACTGAGGTCTATGTATAAAATGTCCCAATAGATACAGATATTTACCTTTGGTGAGTTAAAGGCCATTTTGTGACTTCTGTCTGAATTGCAGGCAGAACATTAGATGGACATGCACATACAGGAAAAACTCAGCCTGAGGTAATCCAAAAGATGTGCAGGCGAGGAGACTGGTGGTACTTTGAAAGTCAAAGCATACCAGAAACCCGAAAGGGGAACAGTGAGGATGGCAACAAGGAATGGAATGCCAATATGGCAGTAAAACTTTTTTCAAAACAGAAAGAGGAAGGCCTCTCGTACCAGCAGAATCCTGCATACATACAGAAAAGAAAAAGCCACCCACCATTTCATGAAACAGAAGCCAATTACAGTGCGGGAAGCACACACTGCAGAAAACCAGAAGTCCAGGAAGAAAAACGACTGGTTCCCGAGAGAGACAGGGGCCCGCGTGGCTCGGGGCAGGCTCACCCGGTGAAGGCCGCCACCGCCGCCCACAGCACCTCGTTGGTCCCGGCCCTCAGACGCTCCACCTCGGGTCCACGGCCAGGAGCCGCCGCGCCCGCTGGGTGGCCACGTCGTGCTGCTCACGTCCAGCAGGGGCGCGAACGCGCTCTCCAGGACGTCGGAGGCTGGGCTGGGCAGACGAGGGCCAGCAGGCGCTTGTCCGTGCGCTGAGGGTCGTTCACCCCCTCGTCGAGAACGGCTTCCTGCACCTTCTCGACGAGGCGCTGCTTAATGCTGTTGTTGGTGACGGGGTGCGTCGTCATGTCAAAGAGGAGGAAGTTCTGTTTCTCTGGGGTCAGCACGCCCTTTTCTACCAGGTTTTTAGCTAATCGTTCCCGCGCGTTTCTTAACTGATAATGCAATTTTAATGGATTCCACGTCTCACCGCTGAGTAATTCAATCCAGTTCTGGACCGTTCCTGGAGGCTGAGTCTCCTTAACATGCTTCAGAGCTTCATCAAGAAGAACATCCCCTGTTGGAGCATCTGACTTACAAATCACCTTTCTTGTTAACAGACTTTTACGTCTCATTCCACAAGCCTCCAGCTGTAACCTTCCTCTCGATGCTAATTCAATCAACATACAGCCACGTAATCCAGATGATACACAGTCATTCCAAATCGATGTGTAACCCTGTATCTGATAACTTTTGGAGAAAGATGACCAAGTTGTCTTAACATGCAGTTTTTTTGCCCATCTCTGTGACTGGGAAAGCTCGCGGTCCTTGAGGCCCAGCAGGAACGCCTCCTCCACCAGGGTCAGCCGCGTTTCCTTGGAGTCGCCCTTGTCGCCGTCGTCCTGCTCGTCTCGAGGGCTCTGCGCGTCGTCCTCATCGTTGCCGCCGCCGCCGCCCGCCGCCCGCTCCTTGTCGGCGGCGTTGCGGGAGGCCTCCGTACGCCGCTGCACCAGCCCGGAGCTGCGCTGGGTCAGCGAGGTCATGGCTCCGCCGCGCCGGGCCGAGAGGGACGCAGGACCTGCGGGGTCTCCCTCTTCCTCCCTCCGCGGCCCCCGACCCGCGCGTCCGTGTTAAGACCGGGCACTGGGGAGAGGTCCGTCGGCAGCGGGGCCGGGTGCAGTCATGAGGAGACGGGCCGAGGGGGAGCGGATGGACCCGGCGTCGGTGGGGCGGGCGAGGGACTCTTCTCTTTTTCGTGGCCGCGGACGTGAGGCAGCCGGAGCAAGACGGAGGCGGTAGAAGAGGAAGCGGCTGAGGAAGAAGCGGCGGCGGCGGCGGCGACGGCGGCAGCGCCTTTCCAATATGAATGTTGAGTTTTAAGCCAACTTTTTCCCTCTCCTCTTTCACTTTCATCAAGAGGCTCTTTAGTTCTACTTCACTTTCTGCCATAAGGGTGGTGTCATCTGCATATCTGAGGTTATTGATATTTCTCCCGGTAATCTTGATTCCAGTTTGTACTTCCTCAGGCCAGCATTTCTCATGATGTTCTCTGAATATAAGTTAAATAAGCAGGGTGACAGTATGCAGCCTTGACATACTTCATTTCCTATTTGGAACCAGTCTGTTGTTCCAAGTCCAGTTCTAATGGTTGCTTCCTGACCTGCATACAGGTTTCTCAAGAGGCAGGTCAGGTGGTTTGGTATTCCCATCTCTTTCAGAATTTTGCACAGTTTATTGTGATCCACACAGTCAAAGGCTTTGGTACACTCAATAAAGCAGAAATAGATGTTTTTTCTGGAACTCTCTTGCTCAACTTAATTCAAATTTATCTACATTAGGTTTAGTATTAGCTGAAATGGGAAAATTTGCCAATTTGGGGTACACCCATAATTACCCTCAGCAATAGAGGGCCCACATCAGTCTCAGCCCTACTCAAGCACAATAGTAGTAGCAGATATGTTCCTACTCATCCACCTCTAGCCTCTGACAGAAAGCTATAAATGTACCCCATCAGTTACATTATGCCTAGGGGTTATCACAACATTTATAGCAATATGTGCCATTACCCAGAATGATATCCAAAAAAAAAAAAAAAAAAAATCATTGCCTTCTACACCTCCAGTCAATTAGGCCTCAATATAGTAACAACTGATATCAACCAACTCTACCCAGCATTCCTCTTTCTCCAAAAAAATGCTCTTGCCTTTTTCAAAGCCATTCTATTTATGTAATCCATATTATTCACAACCTAAATGATGAACAAGATATTCGAAAAATAGGAGGTCTGTTTATAGCTACGCCTTTTACTACAACTGCCCTTCTCATTGGCAGCTTAGCATTGACAGGAATGCCTTTCCTCACTGGATTCTACTCTAAAGACCTAAATATTGAAACTGTGAATATGCCTTATACCAATGCCTGATCCCCTCCACAAACTGCCACCTCACTCACAGCATCCTCACTATCTTCTTCATGCTACTAGGACAGCCTCAATTTTCTATTCTGATTATCATTAACAAGAACAACCCCCTCCCAATCAATTAAATGCCTACTAGTTAGAAGTATTTTTGCTGGCTTTATTATCTCCAACAATATTCCCCCAGCAGCAGTTCCACAAATAACCATACCTTACTACCTCAAAATAACTGCCCTGGCCCTGAATATTCTAGGCTTCATCTTGGCACTCAAAACTAGCAGTAACATAAAACCTGAAGTTCAACTATTCAAATGTATTCAAGGATACTTTTCCACTATCATACACCACCTGACCCCTTATTTAAACTTAACCAGCCAAAAGTCAGCATCCCCCTTCTAGACTGAACCTGCTGAGTGGATATTTTGCCAAAAACCACCTCCGTCAATCAAATAAAAATGTCTATATTAGTATCAGATCAAAAGGGGCTAATCACACTGTATTTTCTCTTTCCTTATCACCTTACTCATCAGCATAATTTAAATTTGCACAAGTAATTTCTGTAATAACAATTAATTATGATCAACTAGTAACATAGTTGGTCCCCCTTCTCTACAAGCTCATTTATTGCAGCACTTACTATAGTCCACTTACTATCTCTCCATGAAACAGGATCAAATAACTCAGTAGGAATTTCATCTGATATAGACAAGATCCCATTTCATCTACTTTATACATTTAAAACCATCTTGGGTGCCTTGCTACTAGTTCTGGGGTAAAAATACTAGTCCTATTTTCACCTGACCTACTAGGAGACCCAGATAGCTACACCCCGGCAAACCTCTCAACACACCTTCACACATCAAGCCAAAATGATACTTCCTATTCACATATGCAGTCCTACGATCAAGCCCTAACAAACTAGGCAGAATTTTAGCCCGAATCTTTTCTATCCTAATCTTAGTATTAATGCCATTACTTCATACATGCAAACAACAAAGCATGACATTCTGACCCATTCAGCCAGTGCCTGTTCTGAATTCTAGTAGTGAACCTCTTAACACTCGCTTGAATTGGAGGACAACCAGTAGAACATCCCTTTATCATCACTGGACAACTAGCATCTATTATATGTTTTTCCTTATCCTACTATCAATGCCAGTAACTAGCATTACCTAAAATAATCTAAAATGAAGAGACGTCTTCATAGTATATGCATGCTTCTGGTCTTGTAAACCTGAAAAGGAAAACAATAAAACACCCTAAGACTCCTTGCACAAGTTTGTGTCAGCAACTAGTATTACTCCTTGATGGTGAACAGTAAATAAAAATAATCTAATATTAGATTATTAATTGCACTGTTAACCCAACAGAGGCATTCACTAAAGCAAAGATGAAAAGAGGAAAAAGAACTCGGCAAACATAAACACTGCCTGTTTACCAAAAAGATCATCTCTAGCATCACTAGTATTAGAGGCACTGCGTGCCCAGTGACTATCGTTAAACAGCTGTGGTATCCTGACTGTGCAAATGTACCCTAATCATTGGTTCTCTAAATAAGGACTTGTATAAATGGCTGCACAAGGGTTTTGCTCTTACTTCTCATCAGTGAAACTGACCTTCCCATGAAGTTAGGGGACAAAACCAATGAGACGAGAAGACCCTATGGAATTTCAATTAATTAGCCCCCCAAATAAAGTTAAACCATTAAGGGATAACAGAACTTTTAATGAGCTAATGATTTTCATTGGGGTGACCTTGGAGAACAAAAGATCCTCCAAGTGACTTTTAAAGCCAAGACCTCCCAGTCAAATCAAATTATCACTTATTGATCCAAGAAACTGATCAACGGAACAAGTAACCTAGGGATAATAGCACAGTCCTAATTTAGAGTTCATATTAACAACAGTGTTTACAACCTTGATGTTGGATCAGGACACCTGAATGGTGTGACCAGTATTAAATGTTTGATTTGTTCACCAATTAAAGTTCTACATGATCTGAGTTCAGACCAGAGTCATTCAGGTCGGTTTCCATCTATTATACAATTTTCCCTGTAGGAAAGGACAAGAGAAATAAGGCCAACTTTAAATAAGTGCCTTAAAATAATGAATAATTTTATCTTAATTGATAAGTAAAAATTTCCACCCAAAACCAGGCCTTATTTAAGGTGGCAGAACCTGATAATTGCATAAAATTTGAACCTGTATGATCAGAGATTTAAATCCTATCCTTAACAAACAGTTCATAATATTCTAATAGTTATTATGCCCATCCTCCTAGCTATAGCATTCTTAACACTAGTAGAATGAAAAGTTCTTGACTATACACAATTCTGAAAAGGCCCAAATGTTGTAAGGCCATACAGCCTACTCCAAACTATTGACGATGCAGTCAAACTACTTATTAAAGAAGCCCTATGACCAGCCACATCCTCAGTTTCTGTACTTTTCCTTGAACCTATCTTTGCCTTGAGCCTAGTTTAACCATATGAATTCCTCTACCCAAACCATCAGTTAAGTCATTCAGTCATGTCTGACTCTTTGTGACCCCCATGGACTGCAGCACGCCAGGACTCCCTGTCCATCACCAACTCCTGGAGTTTGCTCAAACTCATGTCCATGGAGTCAATGATGCCGTCTAACCCTCTCATCCTCTGTCGCCCCTTTCTCCTCCCGCCTTCAATCATTCCCAGCATCAGGGTCTTTTCAGTGAGTCAGTTCCTCACATCAGGTGGCCAAAGTATTGGAGTTTCAGCTTCAACATCAGTCCTTCCAATGGATATTCAGGACTGATTTCCTTTAGGATGGACTGGCTGGATCTCAATGCTGTCCAAGGGTCTCTCAAGAGTCTTCTCTAACACCACAGTTCAAAAGCATCAATTCTTCAGCTCTCAGCTTTCTTTATAGTCCAACTCTCACATCCATACATGACTACTCTATAGTCCAACTCACACACCCATACATACATGAAAAACCATAGTTTTGACTAGACGAACCCTTGTTAGCAAAGTAATGTCTCTGCTTTTTAATATGCTGTCTAGGTATTTTCTTCTTTTCTTTTCTTTCTTTTCTTCCAAGGAGCAAGCGTCTTTGAATTTCATGGCTGCACTCACCATCTGCAGTGATTTTGGAGCACAAGAAAATAAAGTCAGCCACTGTTTCCACTGTGTCTCCATCTACTTGCCATGAAGTGATGGGACCAGATGCCATGAGCTTAGTTTTCTGAATGTTGCTGCTGCTGCTGCTAAGTTGCTTCAGTCGTGTCCAACTCTATGCAACCCCATAGACGGAAGCCCACCAGGCTCCCCCATCCCTGGGATTTTCCAGGCAAGAACACTGGAGTGGGTTGCCATTTCCTTCTCCAGTGAATGAAAGCGAAACCTGAAAGTGAAGTCACTCAGTCGTGTCCGACTCTTCGCAACCCCATGGACTGCAGCCCACCAGGCTCCTCCGACCATGGGATTTTCCAGGTAAGAGTACTGCAGTGGGGTGCCATTGCCTTCTCCTCTAAATATTGAGCTTTAAGCAAACTTTTTCACTCTCCTCTTTCAGTTTCCTCAAGAGGCTCTTTAGTTCTTCTTCACTTTCTGCCATAAGGGTGGTGTCATCCGCATTTCTGAGGTTATTAATAACGCTTCCAGCAATCTCGATTCCAGCTTGTGCTTCCTCCAGCCCAGCATTTCTCAAGATGTACTCTGCATACAAGTTAAACAAGCAGGCTGACAATATACAGCCTTGACATGCTCCTTTCGAATTTGGAACCAGTCTGTTGTTCCATGTCCAGTTCTAACAGTTGCTTCCTGACCTGCATGCAGGTTTCTCAAGAGGCAGGTCAGGTGGTCTGGCATTCCC